GGGTACGCGAGTCAACGGAGGTTACACGAGGGGATGGACAAAGAACACGAAAGGACTCGAAGGGTCGCAACTGGAGGTTGCGACTGACCGTTACAGCTGCAAGGATGGTAACCGAAGTGACAATCGAGTCGCTGTGCGACTCGATAACCGCTCTTCAACTGTATTCTACAACTGCTTTACTTTCCTACTTTCTATATATTGATGTATGCTTGTTCTTTTAATCAATCACTTGTTCTCACATACTAGTACAAGGGTTCAACTTCTCAACTTCCGCTGCACTACTCAAGTCTCCTTTTACAACTGGGACTTAGTCTCTGGAAAGATCCTAAGGGCATTTCTCAGCCCAACAGTGATTTTGGCCAAGGACTAGTCACGCCCCTCACACCTGCTCCAACTCGCGTCAGACTGCCTGCGTGATTTTGGCAAAGGACCAATCACGCCCCTCACATCTGCTCCAATTCGTGTTACCTGCGTGATTTTGACTAAGGTCCCGTCACGCCCCTCACACCTGCTCCAGCTCGCGTCAAACTGCCCGTGTGATTTTGGCGAAGGACCAATCACGCCCCTCACATGTGCTACAGCTTGCGTCACCTGCGACATTTTGGCTAAGGACAAGTTACACCCTTCACAACTGCTCCAGCTCACCTCAACTAGTCAGATATGATTCTGTTTCAGGCTGGAAATCCGTTAAGGCTGATAACTCAGGGTGACCAAAACAAGAACATACAATATTTCAGGCCTGCTCAAATGACAACCCCAAAAATTCAGGCCTAGGAAAAATCAAAAGCTGAAAAAGCAGGACGACCCTAAAAAAACACCCTGATATACAGCATTTCATGGCATTTTGTCCTGACTTCTGAAGCCCTGGTCATATGCCTTGTAAACGACCCCCTTTTACGCCCATGAGTATTCCATAGGCAATTTATCCTTAAGGGCCTCTCCTTGTACGCAAAGTGTACCCGTGTCATGTGAACAGTACTCATTACAGTCAATCGGCAACATTTTGCGATAACCAATCAGTGTGCTCGTGCGACGAATTTCAACGGCAGGCGATCCGACACTGGCTGTTTGTGTCAGACTCGTCAACCAATGTTCGGAGCCGAATCCACATCACTTTTTGGAAAATCCAACAACCACAAGACCAGCCATTTATGTTCCTCCACGTTTGCCCCACAAATTGTATGAGTAATGTTTGTACAGTGTTGTAAGCTGAATACAATTTGTGGACGTGAGTTTACATTTCTCTGAAATGAATCCGGATGCGCAAACATGACTGGTCACCGCTCTCGTCGATGTTCGCCTACCCCGTCTATTTGCGCGTTGGCAAATTTCTCAAATGTAAACGCCTTTTCCTTATTCTTGATAGAGCGCGTTGAATGTTGTGAGGAATCTGGAACTTTACCATGAACCCTGGGTTGACGCGCGTGCGACCTGGTGAGCGACACATGATCGCAACAAAGGCCAACACCGTCGACCATGAACAATTCATAAAATCCAAGCAAAAAAATCTTGCGACACGCCTTAGTCATGTTTTCCCGAGCATATTCCATGTACACCAAATGCCCCGAGTCGCCCCCCGGGTGATAAGGGAATATGGCTTGTACTGTGCTGTACCTTCCTGTAACGTCCCAGGATGTCACAATTTGTTTTAGTTCGGCCTGTCAAACTAAGAACTAGGATGCCATGAAATGGCGAGGGGTTTTAGGAGGTCGAGAGCTAGGAGGGAGAGTTGACGAGAGGAAAAAAAAGGACTAGAAAAGAAAGAGGGATACAAGGAGGGGTGTTGTACCCTCTTCAGTAATATTCAGTAACGTCTACCAAGCCTGCAATTATATACTAACATATATAATTTAACACACCCCCTAGGCTTGGTAGCACAAGGACCCACACACCCCCACACCCCCTAACCTGGCACCCCCATTCCCAACAGCAACGACCACTCCAGCAGGGCCAATCCCAAGGCCCTGGAGATGGCGACGGCGGCAGTCCCGGCAGCGGCGAAAGCGACGGCGGCGGCGTGCGGCGGCAACAGGCCTACGGCGGCAACAGGCCTACGGCGACGACAGCGGCGACGGCGACGGCTTCGGCTTACGGCTGCGATAACGGCAGCGACCCCCGCCCTTTCGGCGACGTGTCCAGACTCCACGACAGGGGGACGGCGAGAGTCAGGCGGCGGCTGTGGCGAAGAGGAGGAGACAGAGGGAACGGGGAAGGGGCGGGGCTTCGGATCTTCAGCGCGGCGCCATTGCTGGCGCGGCGCTTACTGCGTGCCGGCGGGCTGCAAGTCCAGCAGCGACGCAGGTGGTGCGCGACGACAACAGGCCGACGACACCGCCTCGGCACCGTTACGATGCCACCACAGCGTGGCGTCGGAGCCGCGGCTGCTCGTCGATGCTGAGACGACAGCACACAGAGGCCACCGCGACATCTCGGAAAATGTGCCACGGCGGCAGGCAAACAGAGGGCCGCGACGGTGGCCAAGTAAGGACGGGTACGCAGCGGAAGTGTGGAGAGCAGGCCCGGGAAGGGCGTCCTGCTCTGATACCATGTCAAACTAAGAACTAGGATGCCATGAAATGGCGAGGGGTTTTAGGAGGTCGAGAGCTAGGAGGGAGTGTTGACGAGAGGAAAAAAAAGGACTAGAAAAGAAGAGAGAGGGATACAAGGAGGGATGTTGTACCCTCTACAGTAATGTTCAGTAACGTTTACCAAGCCTACAATTATATACTAACATACAGTATATAATTTAACACGGGCACCCCCTTACCCTGTCAACACTTGTCTTGATAGACTAAGAGCGTGTTCCTACCAGGGCTGATTTTATCAGACTATTTAGTCTGAATTTTCAGACCCTTTTTCTGGCCAAACCTGAATTATCATATTACCCATTTTTCCAATCCTGATCACTTCAGAGTTTGAATTTAGGGATCCTGAAAATTTCAGACTTGTTGCTAACCCAGTACTGAGTTTCCATAGCACAGCGCGTACAGACCCTGAACCAGATATACCTTCTGTCAAAGTAAGAATCGAATGAATGACTAGAACTGGAAACCTAGAACAAATACTAGTTGGTTGTACTCACTAGAAGCATACCTCAGTCTAGCCTATAACTTCTATATAGCTAATATGTATAAGTTGACACACCCCCTAGGCTAGACAAGGGGTGAAGCTAAGCAAAAAGCAAACAGCTCAGGGTGGCACTACTAGTCCAACCACAGAGGCAGGGGTCTGGAGACCAGTCAGGAAGAATACAAACAAAACTAAAGCAAGCCAGGGCGGCACTACTAGTCCAGCCACTGGAGGTAAGGCCACAAGGCCAGTCTGACAGGCATATATAATAGAGAGTACACAATCAGGATCCTAACAGGTGAGTAGCTACAGGAACAAGACCAAGCTGTACACAGTGCCGCTGATGATCTTTAGGCGCAAGCGCCTTAGTAAAGATATCAGCTGTGTTGGCACCTGAGGCCAAGCGAACTACGCGGGCCTGGCGGCGCTGCTGTAGCTCGCGCAAGAGGAAGTACCGCAGCTGGATATGCTTCGCTCTGCCCTCAAGCCGGGGCTCCTGACACAGGAGTATCATGGCCCTGTTGTCAGCATACAGGACCGGGGCAGAGCTAGGCCGCTCACCTAAGTCTGTGAGCAAGAAGGTCAGCCAGCGGAGCTCCTGTGCCGCCATGGCACCAGAGTAGATCTCAGCCTCACAGCTAGACTGAGCCACAGACGACGAGCGAGTGGATCTCCAAGAGATAGCACCCGAACCAAGGCTAAAACAGTAGCCCTGTGACGACCTGAGCGTCTCAGAGTCGTCTGCCCAAGAAGCGTCTGTGTGCCCAGTAAGGACCACTGGCCTGCGTCCTCCTAGCACTAACCCCATGCCCGATGTACTAGCAAGATAACGCAAAACCCTCTTAGCGGCAGACCAGTGCTGAGGTCGGTGTCTGCCTGTAGCCACAAAGCGAGCCAGGATGCTGAGAGGGTATGCGAGATCTGGGTACATTAGGCAACACACCAGCTCTGCGTAGGGGCCACTGGGCTCTACAGGCTCCTGAGGAACGGGAGCGGAGAGCCCATGGTCTACAGTTAGAGGTGTGGGCTGTGCGGAGGAGAACTGAAGACCGAACCTCTGAAGGACCTGACGCACCAAGTGTGACTGTGTCAGAGTGATGGTGCGTGCTGCTCTCGTTATAGTCACAATAGGCTCAGATGTGCCTATAATGAGCGATAGAGAGCACAGTCGGATTTCCGTCAGACGGCTTCAAATATTGATAACGATCTGGTCGCTGAATCAAACGGTGATCTGTAACTTGGATCTGGAGCGCGTTGCTCTCGTCTATCAGCAGCAAGTTGAATCATGAATTTCCATGAAGATTTGACGACGCTATGGCGGTTTGACTGGCAGGAGGTATAGCAGCCACTATAGTCTTGGAAGTACAAACTTAGCAAGAAGAGTTCGATATGGAGATGGTTCCCAGCCTCTACATACCCCAAGAGCCGAGGTCCAGGTTGGTGGTACACCACCACAGAGTCCCCAACCATGAAGAGTCTCGAAACAACCCTCCAAGGGGCTACACCAAGTGAAATGTAACACTACACGAAGTAGCGTTACTATTTTCACTATTTAATATTTATCCGCGTCCCTTGGGCTTGAAATCTTGAGCTCTTGGTCTTGGTTCTGCAAGATAAATTCTTCTTGAGTTGATGGGGGCTTGCTGCACACACCTGCGATGCAATGGACACTTCACACTCGACAAAATAGAAAAAACACATGCGACACGCAAACGACGACTTGACATGCGAGTTGTAAAAACTCGCTAATGTCTTGACCGACACAAACCACATTGTGATACACCATCCAAACTCACACACAAGCACTAGATATCAATGATATAGACTCACAAATCATTCCATGCCATGCATGCACACACACAAACAAGGACGACAAGCCGAGTGCAAGCCATAGGGTTGCACCAACAAACTCCCCCTCGGATTGTTGGCCTTAGAATCTGCTCCCCTTAGTTCAGAGCCATCCCAGCAAGCTTGCAACACTTCCAATGCTGCTGCTCAACCAGCCTCTTGGTCATCATATCAGCTGGCTGCGCCGTCGTCTTCACATAGTGCAACTCCACTTCACCCGAGGTTACCATGCTCCTCACCCAATGCCACTTCACCTTCATGTGCTTGGTAAGGCCATGAAGAACCGGGTTCTTAGCCAATGCAATAGCACCCTGGCTATCACAATAGAGTGGGGTAGGTCCTTGCTACTCCTCCCCCAATTCAGCTAGCAAACGCCGCTGCCACACAACCTCTCTTATGGCACGAAAGAGTGCCATGTACTCGGACTCCACCGAGCTCAATGCTTGGTCCACTTGTTTCTTGCTCTCCCAAGCTGTTGGTCCTCCACCAACACAGCAGATGAAGCCTCCCACACTTGTCATGTCCTCTGGTTCTGATGCCCAAGATGCATCAGAGAAGGCGGTGAGAAAGAGCCTCCCGGGTTCGACTCCATCCGCACCCTTTTGACGCCTTTGTGCCGCCGCGGAGTATTGCAGTCCAACAGTTGCTGTTTGGCCAAGGTACTTGGCCACCCTCTCTCCAGCTGCTACCTGCTCCTCATTAGGGCATTGGACAACCCTAGCCAGCTGCCCGGTAGCAAAGGCTGCATCCGGCCTTGTGTGAACGGCCGCATACATGAGGCTGCCCACCAAGGAGTGAAAACGCCGCCTCTCCTCTTCACCAACACTTTCCTCCGCTGGTCCTTTCACACACTTGAACCCTGAGGGAAGAGGAGTAGCCACATGAGCTTCACTCTTCTCAAAGTTTGCAGCCAAGGCCTCCAAGTACTTCTTTTGATGCACTCGCATCCACCGCTTCTCCACATCTCGCTCAATGTGAAGCCCAAGGTAGTAGTTGACGTCACCAAGGGTCTTGCACTTGAACTTGTCTTGAAGCTTCAGCATCACCTCCTTCACAAGGTCAGAGGAGGGTGAGAATATGAGGATGTCATCCACATAAACCACCATGAAGCTCCTCTGCTCCCCCTCGCCAAGCATGAACAAGGATTGATCGGCCGTTGAGGGAGTGAAGCCGATCGCCTCCAAGACTTCCCGCAGCTTGATGTACCATTGCCTAGGGGCTTGCTTGAGGCCATAGAGTGCTTTCTTCAGCTTCCACACTCTGCCACTCCCATCATTGTACCCCTCTGGCTGCTCCATGTAGGTCTCTTCCTCCAAAACGCCGTTGAGGAAGGCCGTTACAATGTCCATTTGCTTCACCACCCATCCTTTGATGGCCCCCGCGGCGAAGAGAGTTCGAAGGGTTGTACCCTTCACCACAGGAGCATATACTTCATTGTAGTCCTTCTTCTCCTGCTGCTGGTACCCCTTGGCTACAAGTCTGCTCTTGTAGCGCTCAATGATGCCGTCGACGACGGTCTTGCGCTTGAAGAGCCACTTGGAAGAAATCGCCTTACGCCCCGGAGGTAGGTTCACCAAGTCAAACGTGTTGTTCTCGATGATGCTCCCCATTTCTTCATCTGAGGCCTTCTTCCACTCCTTCCCATTGGGGTCCTCCCAAGCCTCCTTGGGATTTGTAGGCTCCCCCGGTATCTCCACCGGAGAGAAGAAGGCAAAAGCGCACTCCTCGCTTTCATCTTCCGCATCATCGCCTAGCATGAGAGCCGAACCGGTCAAGGTTGAGTTGGCTGGTCCTCCAAGCCGTTCATAGCTCAACCTATTGGGGGGCTGAGTTCTCCTTCTCCCCCTTCCTTCCTCCTCTGCTGCAGGGACTTGAATGCTCTCATGGCTTTGCGGTAAGTCCGGTTGGTTCCCGCGAGCACTTGTAGCACGAGGCGGAAGTGGCGGTGCACGCTCATTACCTTGCTGCACCTCCTCCTCCTCCTCATCCCCATTCATTTTGGGAGATTGCCTCGTGATTTTGCTGCTGCTACTCAGCTCCAAGGGCAGCTCCACATGCTCCAAGCCGTCCTCTTCACCTCTCCAAGCCGCACACCAATCTTCGCTTGGTTCTCCACCTTCCACTCCTTGTACGGTAAGTTCTCCATGAACTTGCAATCTCTGCTCACCAGGAACTTCTTGGTAAATGGGTCCCATAGAAGCCATCCCTTGCTGTTTTGAGCCATGCCCAGGTGCACGGCCCATGTTGCCTTGGCATCAAGCTTGTTGTGCCGAAGTTTCTTAGGCACAAGTGCCATGCACATGCACCCGAACACCCGAAGCATATCCACCTTCGGCTTCCTTCCAATCCACTCCACATAGGGCACCCATTTGTCTTCTCCCACATGAGTCAAGGCTCTGTTCTTGGCCACACAAGCATGTCGCACCGCATCCGGCCAAAAGTAATTGGGAAGACCGGCTTCAATGAGAAGTCCCCGAGCCGTCTCCGTGAGTGTCCGATTCGCACGCTCGGCGATGCCGTTCATTGCAGGAGAGTAGGGCATGGTAAGAGAGTGCCTTATGCCCTGCTTCTTCAGCCAAGTTGAGAAATCCTTGCTCACGAACTCTCCCCCACGGTCAGTGCGAATCGCCTTCACAATTCGGTCTTGTTGCCGCTCCACCATCGGCAACCAATCGGTCTTCACCGTTTCAGCTACGTCACTCTTCTTGGGCAGCACATACACCCAAGTCATGCGAGTGTAGACGTCCACAATGGTGAGGAAGTACTCTGCTCCAGCAGCTCCAAGCTTCAAGGGGCCCACCACATCCATCACCACCTCATCAAGTGGTGCCTTCGCCGTTGTCTCCGAGCTATGGAACGGGTAGCGGGTGAACTTGGCTTGCATGCATGTTGGACAGCCAAGCACCTCATTGGGCTCCCCCTTGACACGTATCCCACTGACCATCTCTTGCTTAACTATCTGCTGCAAAATGGGCAATGCCACATGCCCCATTCGCCGATGCAAGGTCAGCCAATCACACTCTCCCGTAGCGGAAGTCGGGTTGGAGAAAGCGGCACTCGCAATTGTGCCCCACAAGCTCTCTCCTTTATCCTTCGCCGCTGCTGCTTTGTTGATCTTAGCCTTCTCCTCCTCATTTCCACCACCTTTGGCTGCTGCACCATTCTCCTTGGGTTCACACGCCTTGCTGGTCTCTCCAAGGTTGCACTCCTTCGAGTCACTCTTGGTGTCACTTTGCTTTCCGTGATCACCGCCACCAACCGCTTCACGCTTGGTGCTGACGCTTGCTGCCACTTGCCTCCCCTTAGGCATGGGGACCACTGGGATTTGCCACATCTCATTGTAGATGTCCCTGTCCTCATGAAGGTCCCAAAGCTTCCGCTCACCAAGCCTCGCGGTATAGGTTTTGGATCCCTTGGAAGATGTGTCCATGCCGGCCTTTTGCAAACGCCGAACAGAAATCAGGTTGGCTGCTAGGTTGGGCACCAAAAGCACGTTCTTGAGGCCCACCATCTTCCCATCAGCACCCTTAAACATGGCCTTGCCCATGCCTTTCACCTCTGCTCGCTGCCCCAAAGCCGATGTAACATGCTTGACCGGCGACGGTTCGAGTTCGGTGAGCAAGTCCGCACGAGGAGTCATGCTATAGGTGGCGCCGCTATCGATCACCCAGAAGTCCAGAGAGTGAAGGGTGACCTTTCCCACAGTAGCTGGCTCCTCAAAGCCTTCCACACTTCCTGCTGCAACTGCCGCTTGCGTGGAGACAAAGAAGAATTGGCCCGGGTATCGATCTTCACTCGAGTCCTTGTCGTAGTCTCCACCTTTCATGCTTGCCGCTTCGCTTCCACGACCACCACGGCCTCCACGACCTCTGCCTCTTTCTCCCCTTGCTCCTCTGCCCTCTTGGCCTTGAGAAGGGGTCCATCCATCAGGCAATCTGTAGCAATCTCTCCACATGTGGCAAAAGTGGCATTCGCCATCAAATCGACCGCGCCCACGCCCGTAGCCATTGTTGTTGTTGTTGCTGCCATATCCTCCATTACCACGGCCTCCATTGAAGTAGCTGCTGCCAAATCTTCCTCCTCGCCCTCTACCCCTTCCACGGCCGTGCCCACGGCCCATGCTTGCAACTCCGGCACCATCGGGACCCGCCAATTCGCGACGGCAGAAATCTTCTTGTAAGATTTCCCGCTTCACATCTTCGAGTGAGAGACGGGGCAGATCTCGATTTAGGTTGATGATGAGCGAGGACCATGAGTCCGGAAGTAAGGCCAGCAGCTTGGTCTTCTTTTGAAGGTCACTGTAGTTCAGATTAGCTCCTTCGAGCCGTGTCAACAAGTCGAAGAATTTCTGCACTCCTTCCTCCACCGGTTCGCTTTCGTCAATTCGAAGTGCCGCCATTTGCCGCTCCAAAACCACAGCCACCGCCGCTGTTGCAGGAGCGTGTACACCCTTGAGAGCAGCCCATGCCTTTGGTCCCTTTGCTGTTTCACGCTGAAAAGGCTTGATGTGACGGATTTGGCTGCTCCCCAACGCTTGCCCAAGTACAAGGTAGCCTTGTGCGCTCTTCCGCACCCACGGGCTCTTCTCCGGGTCGTTCTCGGGGCGCCTCTCCGTTCCTTCCATCACCTCCAGCAGATCATAGTGGTCAAAGATGTTCTCCATCTTGAAGGACCACTCAGCAAAGTTGTCACCGTTGAACTTGTCAAGGCCAAACACTCTAGGCTCATCCCTAGAGGGTCCAAGGCTAGGTTGCACCGGAGCAACGGGTGGATCTTGGTGTTGACCTTGTGCTTGGGCGTCTTCTCTGCCTCCAGCACCTCTGCCACCCCCTTCCTCAGCTCTAGGCATGGTCGAGACAGCTCCAAGGGGCTCTGATACCACTTGTTATAGTCACAATAGGCTCAGATGTGCCTATAATGAGAGATAGAGAGCACAGTCGGATTTCCGTCAGACGGCTTCAAATATTGATAACGATCTGGTCGCTGAATCAAACGGTGATCTGTAACTTGGATCTGGAGCGCGTTGCTTTCGTCTATCAGCAGCAAGTTGAATCATGAATTTCCATGAAGATTTGACGACGCTATGGCGGTTTGACTGGCAGGAGGTATAGCAGCCACTATAGTCTTGGAAGTACAAACTTAGCAAGAAGAGTTCGATATGGAGATGGTTCCCAGCCTCTACATACCCCAAGAGCCGAGGTCCAGGTTGGTGGTACACCACCACAGAGTCCCCAACCATGAAGATTCTCGAAACAACCCTCCAAGGGGCTACACCAAGTGAAATGTAACACTACACGAAGTAGCGTTACTATTTTCACTATTTAATATTTATCCGCGTCCCTTGGGCTTGAAATCTTAAGCTCTTGGTCTTGGTTCTGCAAGATAAATTCTTCTTGAGTTGATGGGGGCTTGCTGCACACACCTGCGATGCAATGGACACTTCACACTCGACAAAATAGAAAAAACACATGCGACACGCAAACGACGACTTGACAAGCGAGTTGTAAAAACTCGCTAATGTCTTGACCGACACAAACCACATTGTGATACACCATCCAAACTCACACACAAGCACTAGATAGCAATGATATAGACTCACAAATCATTCCATGCCATGCATGCACACACACAAACAAGGACGTCAAGCCGAGTGCAAGCCATAGGGTTGCACCAACAGCTCTGTCCCTAGAGATCTGCAGGTCAAGATAGCGACGCAGCTCTCCAAGGTCAGTGCAGGTGTGTCTCTTCAGAAGCTCGGCCTTCACAGAGGCCAATGCGTCCCTGTCAGCAGTAGCGAAGACCAGATCGTCTACGTAGACAAGGATATAGAACGGAGTCTGGCCGGAACGCACAAACAGCGAGGGGTCAGCAGAGGACGGAATGAACTGCAGATCTGCTAACGTGGCCCGCAGCGTGTCGTGCCACTCGCAAGGAGCCTGACGCAGGCCGTAGACCGGGCGCCTGAGAAGCCACTGGGTCCCAGGGGGGAAGGTGCTAGTGAAGCCCTGTGGTCGGTGCAGGTAGACCTGCTCGTGTAGGCTGCCCTGAAGAAAGGCAGTAGAGAAGTCGAGGGAGTGAAGCTCGTAGTCGCGCTGTGCTGCTACGTATAGCAGCGCCCGAAGAGTGGTCATCTTCAGGGTCGGGGCGAAGGTCTGGAAGAAGTCAACCCCCTCTCGCTGTCTGAAACCTCTGGCCACGTAGCGCGCCTTGAAGACAGGCGGCTCTCCAGGGGGGCGCTTCACCTTGAAGAGCCACCAACCATCGACTACGTTCACCCCAGGCGGGGGAACTGCGTCGACGTAAGTGCCGGTGGACCTCCAAGATGCCATCTCCTGCTCCATGGCAGCTATTCACTGAGAGGCCCACGGTCCCGAGGTGGCCTCAGCGTAGGTGCGAGGGGTCGGGATGTCGAAGGCGTCTGGGTCACCCTCAGGGACTAGCAGCATGGAACAGAGATCGGGAGCAGCCTCGGAAAGGAAAGCAAGCGCGTACTGCCTGTCCTCTAGGACGTCACTGCCAAGGGCAGGAGCACCCCCGACGGACGGAGGACGGGCAGGGTCAGAGACCAGAGCGGTAGCGTAGTCAAGGCGGCGGGTAGAGGCGAAGTCAGCAACAGCAGCGACAAGCGCGTCAAGGCGCGAGACAGGAACAGCAGGGTTGGTAACAAGAGAGGCAAGGACCCGAGGGACAAGGGGACGAGCGGCACGGAGGTAGTCAGAGAACGGAGGAGGTGCAATAGCAAGGGACGAGGGAGGAGGGGACGGGAGGAGGGGAGGACAAGACGAGCGGGAACGGAGCAACATAGGGTGGGTGGGCAGGACAGGAGAGACGGGACGAGCACGGGAGGGACGGCGAGCCCAAACGTGAGACGGAGGTGTAGGGTCAGGGGACAGCGGAGGGGACACACAAGGGGAACGAGGAGGAAGACGGGCCGGAGACGAGTCCGGCGGCGGGAACACAGGACCGTAGACAGGAAGGTCAGCAGGCTGTGGGGGGACACCGGCGCGCGGTCCGGGGAGGGAAGGCCGAGCAGGCGGAGAGCGGAGACCGGCGGCGACGGCTGCTGCGGCTGCTGCGACAGCTGGGCCGAAACCCTCGGACCGGCAGAGGCAGGACGACTGTCGACGAAACCCTCAATAGCAGCACCCCCAGAGCAAGAACCCCCTCCAACTCCAGCGGCACCCCCGGGAGCCGCAGGACGAACACCCTCCTCAACGCCAGCACCACCAGAGGCCAACGGCGGCAGCGGCGGCGGCGACGGCGGCTGCGGCG